TATGTATTGGGGGGGTTTACTTAAAGTTTTAAAATACTTAACCCATTCCTTAAAGTTATGATTTAACCCCCCTTAAATCCCTACCCTAAACCTCCTCCTAAAATTTACCCTTCATCCTGACACCAAACCACTTAAAGGCTGGGTTCACAACTGCATATGATGGGAACGCGTGTCTTGTTCAAGCATGTTTGTGTACATTTTCACGCGTTTGTGTGCCTGCTTTTGCCTTGCATCCTCATTCATTTCAATGGCTTGATATACGAGCAAACGTGCCAAAAAAGCTCCTGTAGTATTTTGCTTGACACGCGTTCTGTGCTTTTTACTGCTGCGTTTCTGTGCGTTTTCACGTGCACAAACACACAGAGCAAAAACGTCTTGCTGGCCGCGTTTGGGGTGCCCTCAGAAAATAATGAAACAACAAGTGTGTTGCGCGTTTTAGCGCGTTTCCATGAACTTGTGCAGCACACACACGAAAACGTGCACTTTGGTGTGCTTTCACGGAACGCGCAGGTGTGAACCGAGTCAAAGTGTATCCCAAAACATTTTTTTCAGTATGTAAGGGTTACATTTCCTGTAATTTTATATTTTGCGGTCTCTCCCTGCCCTTCACTTCCTGTGTGAGAGGAATTCTCTACAAAGTGTAAGCAGTCCCCTTCTTTAACAGTGGTCATTGGAACAGGTATCCACATTGTAAGATTTCCCCTTGCCTCTTGTTCTGGTGACAACTAAAAAATTCTGACAAAGGGTCACCAGGACATTCAGAGGGGTGATTCTACCTAGTGGGGACACATACAGCATTAAAAGCCTGATGGGGTCTAATTGTTACCTACTCTATCCAAAAAAAAAAAAGTGCTATGCATATACATGAACCAAATTCCTGACACTTATTGAACCCCTAAGGGACCATACCAACCTTATAATGTGCCTGAAGTATCAACACTGAAAGCTACCAATCCAGCACCAATATCTCACATTGCTGAGACCTCAGAGCTGAAAATGAATGGCTGGTATCTTATCACAGCTTGTGCATTTATGTATTTGTTGCACAGGAGCATTCAAAGCATTGCAATCACTTTCAGTGGATTGCTGGTGCAATGCTCAGACTCCTGCACATTGTTCCTCCAGCCCCAAGTCCGTACTTAGGTAGGGGCCTTCATTTATGAGGCTGGAGGAAGTTATCAATGGTGTACACATAGAGTTATGTTATTCCACTTTTACTGTGCTCTATTGAGAAGTATGAGTCCATTTGTCACATTGGCAGATGTACTCTTCCATTCACAGATCCCTGTATATAATATAGAAGACTGTGGGGAGAAAACACCTGTGATTCAGTTATATAGGAGGGGGCACATTGAGGGTGGTGGGCTGGGGAAGCGACCATGTTCCATGTGACACCATAAATATGGGTGTAAGTTACAACATAGTGTGAAAAGTTGGGTATACTTTTTATTCCTGCTCTGAATAACATCAGTTTAATTGTGACACTTTTATTCATCTTCCTAGGTCTGTTCTTTGTAATGATCCAGATATGTTTGACATACCTGTGAATGTTCCTCTTGATACCATAAAACTTCGAGTTGAAAAGACAGTCATTCGTAAGATTCCCACTGAAGCCTTTTACTACCTTGTCGATCTGAAGTATCTCTGGGTGACCTACAACAGTATTACTAGCATAGACTCAAGTAGTTTTTACAATCTGAAACAGCTGCATGAATTACGTCTGGATGGAAATATGATATCTGTTTTTCCTTGGGAGTCTTTATTAGAGATGCCTCGTTTGCGCACTTTGGACCTACATAACAACAAGATAGCAAGCATCCCCGCAGAGGCGGCGCGCTACTTAAAAAACATTACATACCTGGATGTGTCTAGCAACAAGCTCACCACGCTGCCTTCAGATTTGCTGGATATTTGGCCCCCCTTCTCTGAGCCGGTATCCAGGAATACAGAGATGTATGCTCAAAGAGCAATACTTGGTAAGTTATGCTAATACCTATTTTATATACTGAAAATATTGAACTCTTATTTTAAAAAGAACTGTTTAGCAGTTTTACATAATGTCGGGTTTTATAGACAAAAGGCCTATATGACATCCAAGGTGGATCACTTGTTTAACAACCCTCTTTAGTTTTTTTTATCACTAATCATGAAATCCAAATAGTAGTAAAAATAATAAAAAAACAAGAACAATAATAATAATTAAAACAATAACAATGTCCAAAAATGTAACTCAGTGGAAACTGGAGGGCGCCCTTATCAGGGAGGACTGTGCAGAGAGGCATTTGACCCCAGGCCTGTAAAAATAATACATGTTGAGCTTTTGTCCCTAAGTGAAGATACTCCCATTGAGACCACAAAGATGGACCTGTAGTCAGTGACAGCTGCTGGCAATTGTAAAGGTGCCCATACACTCTTCGATTTTCATTCAGAAATCTTCCAGTTGATATGACACCAACGATATTTTTTGCTGTAATCCCACTCGAATTTTCTCAAAGGGTGAGGCTGAAAAACTTGTTGCGAATCGATCGAAAATCAATGGATTAGTGGTGTTTTCGCACAAAACAAATCTCAGCAAACGAACGTCCGTTCTGTCGATCAACAAAATTTGGTGAGTTAGTATTGCTAAGGAAATCGACATTGGTCGGTGCTTGATGGGCTACTTGAGCTAGAATCCAACAAGGGTTCTTGGCAGCAGCGAAAATTTCCAATCGAAAATCTATAGGTGTATAGCTAGCTTTAGTCTTCCAGCATTGTCTTCCTTTGTGGGTCTGAGATGTTTTTGCGATCAAATGCAGAGAGCTGCAAAAGAAGTCAATGTTGGAAGAACACAAAACTGTGGGGTTTGTCGCTTTATTAACAAAAGTTTGATTGATAAAGATTATGTGTGATAATGGCATGGTATTTTATTTAGTATTTTGCGTATGTAGGTGAGTCCATGTCATTTTTACAAAGCAGCTTTCATCCTGTTTAGTTCATAAAGTACTCTTTATTTAGAATTCATCTGTTACGATTGCCCTTTTTTTACACTCGGGTTCCTGCTATCTCAAGGAGTATGCCACTGCTACCCGGGGGGTTTGCAAGTGTACCTGTTCTGCAGAGTTGAGGAAAAGAGTGAAAGTTCATGTGGTGGTCCTACATGTGGAGTAAACAGTCTTGCAATGTATTTTTTGAACTATGACGTTGAAAAAAAAAAGTGATGTTGAATACATGGAAGAGAAGCATTGCAGTAAAGAAAGTTTCTTGCTAAACATCAACTCTTTTTTTAGGGACTCCATTAAATCCTTACGCATCATGAAATACCACCTGTCTGAGGTAATGTGGGCAACTACAAGGGGAATATGTTGGCAGCGAGGCTAAGAGTGTGCAGTCCCTGAAGCTTAAGGCTGGGTTCACACCTGGGCGTACGGAATATGCGCGTTTGCAGCGCCGCTCGTTTTTACCGCGATTTGCGGTAAAAGAAAAGCGCAACAAATGCTAGTTTCCGAGGGCTATACGGCTGTATCCTAATGGATACGTGCGGCAAATACACCCCAAAGAAGCTCCTGTACTTCTTTGGGCGTAGGGCGTTTTTCAGCCTGTTCCTACGCGCTGTAAAACGCCCATGTGGGAACCATATCCATAGGCAATTATTGGTTTTCACATGTTGAGTGTTTTACAGCGCATAGGAATGCGCTGTAAAACGCCCAGGTGTGAACCAGGCCTTAGGGAGAAGCAGTGGAGCAGAGAGAGAGTTTGAGGAGCAAGTTGACCAGATTTGGTGACCTTCTTTATCTGTAATACCTAAAGAGAAAAATGGGTGTTGATTGCTATCTGCAGCTGAAGAAACTAGGACAGAGGTGCTGAAGGAGCACCTCTGTCCTAGTGATGTCTGATCCATCATTAACTGAAGAGGCAAAGATGGAGTGGTGATCAGCCTGAGAGTCCAGTCCACTCATGGCAGAGGACCAGGGGCATAACTAGAAATCCCAGGGCGCCATAGCAAAATTTTGTAAGGCCCCCCAACGAAACTCCCGCCCCCATTTTAATAGATAATTCACTCAGTGAATGGGAAGCACTCAGTACAGAAGCTTCCCATTGATTCACAAACTGCTGATAGTAAGATATCTACTATGAAGCAGATGGGGAAAAACCTCTGTACTGAGTGCATCTCCCCATTAAGAAATTCATGAATGAACAGGAGGTGATGTGAATGGGTCTATTCACTAAGCTGCCGTAGGCAGCCGAGTGAATGACCGACCTGAAGTGAAGTGAGCCGAACACTGTTACATGTCCTGTGATGCATAAAAGTCTGTACACCCAGAAAAGAAACAGGCATGACACCCAGGGGTAGCTGTATACTGGGATTTGTAGTTCAACAACAATGGAGATCTGCAGCTGCACAGACCTACAATAGCTACACAAGAAAGCAGAAACATAAGCTACAACAGTATCACAACAAACTTTAGATGCACCACATGTCACATGCACATGTTTTACCTTTGCTGTCCTTCAGAGAAGGAGGGAAAGATTCCCATTCTGGCCAAATCTGGATGGCAATATTCATCCAAGCCCCGCCTCCTCCTTCCTCTGTTTTTTATAAAGGGGGTTGCGCAGGTCATACAGGCATGGTTGTGCCTATATTAGCCTAATAAATGCCTCAGAATCGAAATTTGACAGACATGAATCATCCATTTTGTTTCCCAGTGTGCTTTGCAGGTGGTCTTCAACAATGTATATGCGCCTTAAAATCGCGCGTTCTTTTTGCACAAAAACGTGCAAAAGCACATGAAAAGAGCAAACGCGCGTTTTTGGCGCGTTTTCCATTAAAATCTGTGGAGCACAAACGTGCTGGATCTGCCTGAAAGAAGCTCATGCACCTTTTACAGCTTGCTGCTAAACTCTCAGATGTGAACAGGGGCCATAGAAATGAATAGGAATTCTTGTGTTGTGAGTTTTGACGTGTTATCTTTGAACGTCAAAACAGGGACACTGAGGTGTGAACAGGGACTAAGAGTGCTGGATATCAGCAGTGGACAGGCTGGTTCATCTGCTGCTTTTTGGCTGAAATAAAATAGAAAGCTGTCATTAGGGGGCTAGAAGACAATTATATTACATTAGTGTGTAAGGTTTTGCTGTACTGAAGCTGAACTCCATGCAAATGGCAAAATACATAGCTGAATTATTACCCTATGCCGAGAAGTGGGATAAGACTACAGAACACATCATTCTCATTTCTATAACATAGGGGGAGATACATGTAGTTTAAATAGGGCTGGTAACGATTCCAGTAGAACAGAGTAAAGTGCGCGATTAGGAGCTCAATGGATTTCTGGAAGGATTGACAGTTATTTTTCTGTACTTGCAGAAAATATGCTGAGCCTGAAATAAGAAAACTAATGCACCCAAAACATCTGAGGACTAGTAAGCTGCAATATATTACATTGTTACATGTATATTAGATTACATAGGTATAGGCACAAATACTAATTATATGTACAAAAAAATTAAATAATGAGTACATAACTGGATACGATTATGTTTTTTTTTTCTGCCTGAATTTAAGCTTTTAGTTCTCTACACATTGGTGTAAGACTCATCTATTCATCCTTGGATGGTTGTGCTCTATTGTATCAGTTTCTCAGTAAGAGCTCATTCACACAGCCACAGAGGGCTGCATAAACACATGCCTGTATGACCCTCTGTGGCTGTGTGAATGAGCCCTAAAGTTATTCCATGTAACAAAGTATGTAGGTAATAGTTTCATCCCAGAAATATGAAGCCAAATGGCAAAGCTTTCTGTACTGCCGCACTGTACAGAGTTAACTAGGCTATGAGAGTCAGGATTAGCAGGGATTTCCCAATTAGTAGTCTTGTACTTCAGAAATCATTTAATCTTAGTCATGCGTTTAATGCAGACACACATTACTTCAAACAACGTGGGTCTTAATGCTTCATCCTTATTTCACCTTGTTTTAGACCTTTTAATTAATGAAATGTGCCATTCTGCAATCCTTTGTACTACACCTCAGGGACCTAAATCTAAATCCATTAAAGAGAAGAGCCAAAGAAAAACGTGACCGACGCTCTAACTGCTTACGTTTATGCAAAACAGTTCAAAGCCCTCTTTGGCAATATGTAGTCCATCACTGTTTCATTTTTGCTACAATGTTTTATAGCCGTAGCTCTAATGTTAGCCATACACAGGGCAATATTCCTGCTAACTTCCACCACTTGCATTCAAATTTGTATTGCCAGAACAATCAAATGGACCCAGGCAACTTACTAACATTCTTGCCTTATAAATATACAAAGTGTTGATGTTGCTTTTACTGAAGGTGTTCAAAAGTTGTACTTAAAGTCCTGCTGTGAAAAAAGTGCAAGGGGCTAGACAAGGTCTTTTTTACCCCCCAAAAGCTTTGCACATTGCCTTGCAATTATCTGTAAGTACACTTCATGGCACATGATGAGAACATAGCTGGGGCGTTGGGGACAATGTAACTCTTGTACATATGTACAGAGGATACATCGTTAGTGGCTGTCCAATGGCCAAAGAGGAGCTGTGCTCATTGCACATTATGGTGAGAACCCCCTCACCCTAAAGAATTAAGAAATGATCTGCTATAATGCTCCACCTGGCATCTTGTCTCCAATCCTGATAGTAAATAATGTGAACCTACTACTCAATACCTAACAGTATGTAGTGTATTTCAAGGGCCATCGTTATTACCTCAAAGGTGTAAATAGGGTCAACATTATGCACATGGAACAAAACCAAGATTTTTTGTGGAAAACGTTTGTTTAAAGAGACACTGTTACTCTGCCCATTCAGAGCACATATAGAGTGCCTCCTGATACCCACCCTTTAATGCGGGGGTCAGCAATCCCTGACACATGTGCCCAGATGGAAAACAATGCCTTTTTCAATGGCACCTGCTGTTGTCTCTCCTGCACTGATGACACTCCTGCCAGGGGGCAAAGTGGTGGCTCTGGCTAAATGATGAACCTCCTGAAGATTGTCTAAACACAGATTGTACCATAGTCTTGTCCTCATATAGGTATACAAGTACCATAGTCTTGTCCTCATATAGGTATACAAGTACCATAGTCTTGTCCTCATATAGGTATACAAGTACCATAGTCTTGTCCTCATATAGGTATACAAGTACCATAGTCTTGTCCTCATATAGGTATACAAGTACCATAGTCTTGTCCTCATATAGGTATACAGGTACCATAGTCTTATCCTCATATAGGTATACAAGTACCATAGTCTTGTCCTCATATAGGTATACAGGTACCATAGTCTTATCCTCATATAGGTATACAAGTACCATAGTCTTGTCCTCATATAGGTATACAAGTACCATAGTCTTGTCCTCATATAGGTATACAAGTACCATAGTCTTGTCCTCATATAGGTATACAAGTACCATAGTCTTGTCCTCATATAGGTATACAAGTACTATAGTCTTGTCCTTATATAGGTATACAAGTACAATTGTCTTGTCCTCATATAGGTATACAGGTACCATAGTCTTGTCCTCATATAGGTATACAGCTACCATAGTCTTGTCCTCATATAGGCATACAAGTACCATTGACTTGTCCTCATATAGGTATACAAGTACCATAGTCTTGTCCTCATATAGGTATACAAGTACCATAGTCTTGTCCTCATATAGGTATACAAGTACCATTGTCTTGTCCTCATATAGGTATACAAGTACCATTCTCTTGTCCTCATATAGGTATACAAGTACTATAGTCTTGTCCTCATATAGGTATACAAGTACCATAGTCTTGTCCTCATATAGGTATACAAGTACCATAGTCTTGTCCTCATATAGGTATACAAGTACCATAGTCTTGTCCTCATATAGGTATACAAGTACCATAGTCTTGTCCTCATATAGGTATACAAGTATCATAGTCTTGTCCTCATATAGGTATACAAGTATCATAGTCTTGTCCTCATATAGGTGAACAAGTACCATTGTCTTGTCCTCCTATATTGTGAATAATCTATTTAGGAGTGTGTTGGCATATTTGTTGTGCAGGGAGAGGTTACTTAAATAATGTCATACTTCTCCTTACTACTAGTGCCATTGTCTGGTCCTTGTATCTTGTGCAAGGAGTGTGTTGGCATATTTATTGCCCAGGTCTACTTTAATGCAAACAGAAAAATGGTGACATCTAGTGGTACCATGCATTACATTTTAAAGAAATGAATAATGCACAATATGAGTGTAAGCCTCCGTTCACACCTCTGCTATTCTACATTGCAGTGGTGCTGCAGGGTGCATTGTGGTGTGCTGCGGTAGGGAATCCTACTCATTTTAATGGGCTGCCTACCACAGCTAAATCATACTAAAAAAAGTTCAAGAACTTTTATGGTAATAGGTTACCATGCAATGCAGTGCGATACAACACACATGAGATGGCTAGGTGCGATGGGGTGCTATTAAGAAATAATGGCACCACAGCGCACCTAACATTGAAAATGCAATGCAGGATCCTGCATCACAAGGATGTGAATGGAGCCTTACAGTAATAAGAATGCAAAAAGAAATGCAGTACATCGCTGCAATACATGCACATTTCCACATATTTTTCACTGTATAGACCCTGCAAGTTGTGGAGTGGTGTCAGACCTGCCAAGTTGTCTTTTGCTAAACTACTCCAAGCCTCCTAGTTTCCTCACCTCCACAACCTAACCACTAATCATTCTATATTGTGAGGCAAGAACAAGGAGGGCTAGTTAGATCTCTTGAGATAACACGGGAAGTATGCACAGGACACAGGACAGCTCTATATTTCTGACTTGATTTTTTTGCACGTTTCAAAAATAAATAACAAAATACTTTCAATTCTACATTTAATAGACCAAAAGGTAGCAAATACTTGCCTTGTTAAGGTTTACATTGGACAATGTGTTTTGTATACTGGCCGCTATGTTGTCAGCTCAAACAGTTAGGAGTTGGTATTTTTCTGTACTTTTAACATATTTAAAATGGGAAAAATGGAGAAATATGCATGATAGATGAACATGCAAGAATAGCAATCAGTAAAGCACCTACCCAAATTTACAACTCCCCCATATTTTCCCGAAACGCCCCTCATATTTGGGATCATGGGGCTTTTCCACTAATAACTTTTTTCGTCAAGAACATTTAATCTATAAGATGGAATCACCGTCTACCAAATGCCCCAATCTGCCAAGGTCCTGGACAGTTGAAAAGTACTATGGGGTAACATGGCACACTTTACCCAAAAATGAAGTTACTATTAAACCGCTAATCTTATAGTGTAACTATATTTTTTTTGTTTAGCTTGACATTTCAACTTTTACTATGTATGGTTTTCGATTTATTATTACATATTATTATTTACATATTATATTGGTGGTACAAATTTCCATCTACAACTGTTATAATTGAAACATACAATTATTTTGAAAGGTCTGCAAGATAATCCTTGGTTTTGTGACTGCCGGATTTCTAAGCTGATTGAACTATCAAAGATTGTGGACCCACAGGTGATATTCCTGGACCCTTTTGTGGTGTGTAGTGGACCTGAATCTTTGACTGGAATTTTATTTCAAAAAGCCGAACTTGAACAATGTCTCAAACCTTCTGTGATGACATCAGCTACAAAAATTACATCACCATTGGGCAGCAATGTTCTTTTAAGATGTGATGCCACTGGTTATCCCACTCCACAGTTACTATGGAGCAGAGTAAACAACACGAATGTCAATTACACAGGTAAGATTTGGTGGTACAGTCATTTTATGTTACTAATGGGTCCTAGTAGACATGTGCACTGGCAAAAAATTAGTTTTGTTTCGTTTTGATTCGGATATTGTGTTATTTCGTTTTTCAGGACTCTGGTGTGAAAGTCAATTCGGATTCGGACTAAATTCGTTAGCGGTAGTTCGTTTGAACATTCGTTTCGTTTTTGTTTCTTATTCGTTTTGTTCGTTCGTAGCAGCAAAGTGACATTTGAGGGGAAATAAATGTTTTTCTCCTTCTCTAATGTCACTTTGCTGCAACGAGCGAAACGAATAAGAAACGAAAACTAATGTTCAAACGAACTACTGCTAACGAATTTCGGAAACAGAAATTCGGATCCGTTTGCATTCGTTATATCTGTAATTCGGAATTCGGATACATGCGAATGTCAGAATTTCTGAAAATTAATCCGAATTTTGATTCGGAACGAAACGAATCGCACATGTCCAGGTCCTAGCAGCTGTGTAATACACAATTTACAGTAGACTAGAGTATAAGCCCCAGATGTACATATTTTAATGATGGTTTTGACAGTTGAAACACAAGCCTTGCGATTGTTTTTCTTACAGTTAATGTTTTATGTGATCAGAGGTGTTTTATCAGGTCATTTGTCATTTTGAAGTAATATTAACACTAATCACTTTAAAGTAGACCTGTACTCAAAACATTAAGATGATAATATGTTAAAGGGAATATCTAGCAATATTACAGCTATTTTTATCTAACTATATTGCTCAATAGCGACAAATAATATAAATCCAATTTATATGTACCAAATGCCTTTGCAAACCCTGTTATTACCATATAAAATGAGCAGGTACATCATCATCATTGTGCTGCACATAACATGTGGAAAGAGCAGAGCCGTGGCAGGTACACAGCAGTTCTACCCACTACAGGCTGTCTGCAGATACCTGCTGGGGTGGATACAAGACTGTTCACCTTGCACAAGTTGAGAGAACAGTAGTGACTGATCTTAATACAGGAAGCTCCTGCATAGAGGCAAAGTTTCCTGCTAGATTATTACACAGATCTGAAAAAAATACACATAGCACACCAACAAGATTCAAATAAGAATACACATGTATCTTGTATTTAGACAATATTTGCATATACTGGAATTCGGCATTAATTGTATCAAAAGCAGTATCCCCAAAAATGTTTTAACTATCCTTCTTGCTGTAGAGTAAGAAGTACCTGAGGACCTGCAGTGCAAGGATTTTATATGTGCAAGGGTAGTATTTTTTTATGTGTGTGTACAGCAGCTGCATGTAAATGCCTGCACGCCGCATGTAATGGTAATGGATCCTCAGCCTGGGGTCCAGTATGGGCTGCTGTGTTGTGACGGAGCTCCAGCCACATGTTCGTTGCTTGTACTAGGCTAAATGCTCCGATACCTTCCCCGATACCAAGCTGTTTGGCTGGCTAGATGCTGATTGGCCGGGAAGCAGGCTTCCCAGCCAATCAGCATCAAGCCAGCCAAACAGCATGAAGCCAGCTTCCCGGCCAATCAGGAAGCCGGGCAGCGAGTCATTACCCACCGCCCAGCTTCCTGATTGGGAACCCTACGCACATTTTTTTGTTTTAACTTGGGGGGTCCCTCCTAACATTCAAATGGGGGGGAACCCCACACTTTTTTTCCTCTTCTGCAGACTATTAAAAAAAAAAGTTTTTTTTCTCTGTCACTTGCTGCAACGAAATTACGTCCACAAACAAAATTTCGTACAGACTACCGCTAACGAATCAGAAATTCGGATTAGTTTGCATTCGTCATTTCTGTAATTCGGAAATTTGGATACAGTATATCCGAATCTCTGAAAATTCGTACGAATTTCGATTCGGAACGAAACGAATCGCACAAGTCTATAATTTTCTTATATCAGTGTTGTAACATACTCTATATGTTTGAGTAATAGTATTTGTCAAGCTGTGGAATGTACAGCAGAACTTAGAAATCATTCTGGGGCACTTTTTACAATACCCTAAATGTTCCAGTATATTTGTAGCTCATGTTGAGTTAAAGAATGAGTATTAATGGTTAGTGGTAGTCACAAAGGCTTCTATATAGAAACAGAAATAGAGCAATTTCTTACCTTTGCATATACTGAATTTTTGGGTAGAAAACAGCTTCAGACCCCCAAACAATGATATATTTTCTGAAAGCAGAGGCACCGTAGAATAAAAAGATACTAGTTGCAATTTTTTATGTCGCACGGTATTTGCAAAAATGTTTTTCCCAAAAAAATTTGTAGGATAAAATACACTAAAATTAAATTTAGTGCACAGAAACAGAATATAATGCCCAAATGTTTTGTAAAATATAAAAGATGGGGTCAGGCCGGGTAAAAAGATACCAAACATGTCAAGCCTTAAAATTGCGTGCGTACGTGAAAACGCAAAAAACTACAATAACCAAAATTTCCCACAGGCGATGCTTTAAACGCTTTTACAGCTCATAAGTTTAGTGCTAACAGTAATTGATGGGCTTAGAATTATTGCTCGCACTCCGATGCTCACGACGATATGTAACATGTGTGGCGCAATTTTTGTTTTTGCATGTAGGCGCCGTATCACTTGTACGGTGCAGCAGCAGCCGTGTTCTTGGTATAACCACTTCCAACGGAGGACGTTCATTTACGTGGAAGTGGTTAAACAGACCCTAATTCCACACCATTCAGTTCAACAACAGTCTTCACAAAGGATTATATGTGCACTTAATGTATTTTATCCATGTTATTTACTTGCAAAAGCCTCCCTTATTTAGATATCCTCAATGTCTGAGAGTGCTCATGGGAGCTGACATCCTGTATGCGATGTCAGCAGGCCCAGTGGACTGTCAATCAAGTGACACTCTATAATATTCACATTCACTTCTTCCTTGGTAACTACATAAAAGGTTTGGGGAGGTGAGGGGTGAAGGAGCTGGGCCAGCACAGAGAGCAATTTGGCACCCCAGAAGAGGAGAGGGTTATGACGTAGCAGGAAGGAGGAGATGCTGTGGCTGTTCTAGAGAATAGAGACTGCCTGGAGTGGTTAAATTCCTTAGCATGTTTATGGCACATTGCAAGTGAATAAAAAACAATGTTTATGAAAAGGAACAACACTGCAAAGAAGCATTTAAAAAGCACATTGCAAGTGAATAAAAAAATTGTTTATGGAAATGAAAAACACTTCAAGGAAGCACTTAATTTACACTTGATTTACTCTATTGCCCATTAAGTGACATCTCTGAAGAATTCTGAGACATAGGGTTATGCTGCTGCTTCAGGAGAAATTAGACACCAGGCAAACAATTCAACACTCTCACGTTAAGGCAATAACCCCTCCCACTTTACACTTGCCAGTTTCTCTTAGTGTCCTCAGGAGAATGGTTGTCTCCTTTTCTGCTTCTTTCTTTAGGTTTGTTTTGTTTCTATGGTGAGATTCTACTATTAAGAGCTGTTAGTTGATTCATGCCGGCTAATATTAAATCCTGGAAGTTTCTCTAGCTAGCCGACAAAACTGAGAGATACATACCGGATAAATTAAATCCTGGAAGTTTCTCTAGTTGTCAGGAAACAGGTCATTACTAGTCTCAGGACTGATGATTTGTCCTACGGTGGTCTGGAGTTCCCATGGTCATCTCTTCATTTAAAGAGTGCAGGCCTTCCCAGTCATCTCGCTGTGGATCCGACCTGCAATAGACCTGTGCTCCTATCTGGTGAGGTATTTCAGCTACCATTTCTGAGAGTTAGGCCAGTTTTCTCTGGGGATTCCTTTTTATGTTGGAAACAAGACAATGCAGGTTGTGAGTACTCTAACCATGTTCTTCTCCCTGCAGTGGGCTGGGACCTTCCCTCCTTTTCATAATTCTGTGGACAATTGTTTGTATTTTTTACACTGTCTTTGACTTTTCCAGCCATTAAAAAAACAAACTATCACGCACTTGCTTTTTATTGCCCATGCACGTGCACGCATGCTCCCTCAGCACAGCCTCATTGAGTCTCTTGTTACCAGAACTCTAGTGAGGATACACATGCCACCACAGCTCTTCTCCCACCCTCATTTCACACAGCTGTGAGACACCTGCAGCATTAAGGAAAAGCTGACCCAGGCTCTGAGGGAAGAAGGAGGTAGAGACAAATTCTGCTCTATATCTCCTATAGGCTCTGTAACATCATCCTGCTGTCCTCTGTAAGAAGTGACACTGTTTTTTTTACTATTTTTCTTCTGATACTTCACACTGGGTGAGTATTCTAGGGAAAATGCTATGTAAAAGGTACATTGCCCTTTATATTTATCTACTCCCAAGCAGAGAGACAACTGCACTGGGACATCTGATGATGTATACGCTCTGGTCTCTGTCTGTTCTTCCTGTAAGTTGGAAATGACCAAAGGGAAAGATTGTGTTGATTGTTTATCTGCTTTATCTAAAACTGATAAATCTTTAGCAGTGGCTGCTTCTTCACTGCTTCATTGTATATTGATTCTTCTTCCCCTTTTCTCACAAAAAGTGATTATTCTGTAATTATGGAGGTTTTGTCTATCACGGATAGATAAAAATTGTTTCTCATTCGGATTCCCCTAAAAAGGGTAAGAAACTCCCCCAATCTTCCTCTCCTATAGATTTGAATGAGGAGACGCCAGATATTTCCAGTTTAGCTGGAGAGCTTCCAGTAGATTCTTTATCTGATGATAAATCCTTATGGTTTTTGGAGGAAAGCATTACTCCAGCTGGAAGGAAATCAGAGTACCTGGAGGAAACCCACACAAGCACAGGGAGAATATGCAAACTCCTTCCAGATAGTGTTCTGACTGGGATTTGAACTGGGGACCCAGATTTCTGCAATGCAAAAGTGCTAACCACAATGCCACTGATTTATATACAAAGATTGGAAATCTCTAGATATATGGTTTCAGTCATGTTATCCCTTTCTGGATGATTTTTTTTAAGAAGAAAAAATGGTATGTTCCCCTTGAGGTTGACTTTCCTG